CCAGCTCAAGGAGGGCGTCCTCCATCGCCACCACCTCCTATGCCCAAGACCAAGAAGCCCCCAGAGATTACCTCATCCTGGCCATCGTCTCCTGCTTCTGCCCCGTCTGGCCCCTCAACCTCATCCCCCTCATCATTTCCATCATGGTAAGTGCTGCTCTTTGTTCCAGGGGCAGGGGCTGGGCCCAGGGCTGTGTGTCCCCCGGGCAAGCACCAAACACACTGCCCAGGGTGTGGAGAAGAGACACCTGGGAGTGGGGGGCTTGGGGAAGATTCCTTTCCTCGCTGGCCTCCTCCTTCCCCTTCGAGAGGGGCCCTGGGGCCGGGAGAGCTCCCGTTCTGTTCTCTCATCTCTGCTGCTGGGCATCAGAGCTTGACTTTGTGCCTATGGCTGCTGGGGAGGGGCACTCAGGGAGCTGCCTGGTGGTACATCCCTCAGGGCAGAAAGATACCCAGCTGGGGGTCTTACTGTTTTAGGAGGGACGGGTGGTTCCAAAGAGTCATCACCCAGTGGGGCTGTCTCAGCAGAGGTTGCACCAGACGGGGGTCCCAGGGCCCCGTGTGTCCTCCCAGGCCACCTGGACATGCTCCCAGCCTCTGCCAGCTCCGGTTTCCAAGAGTCACAGCGGCTTCCCTGTGGTGCACTGAGGGCTCCGGGGCCAGGTTCCCCCGAGGGGCACACAAAGCGGGGAGAGCTGGCAGGCTGCTCCTCCCCAGGCGTGGAGCTCCCTCCAGAGCCCTCTGCACCTCCTCAGCTGGGCTGATTTCAGCCTCCGTCTTCACGGCAGGGGAGGTCTGGGTCACAAGTGAAAACTGTGCGAGTCAGAGGGCATGGCCCGCCATGCCCAGGAAGGGGCATGTGGCCGGGTCTTCACGTCTATGGGGTTTTGAATGAATTGTCTTAGACTGTATCCAACCCAAGCCATTTGGGTAGAGCTACTTATAAAGGATTTCATAGAAAATGTCAGCAGATACTGGCAAGTGACTTTTGAAGTCCAGGAAGAAGACACAGTTATGAAAGGGCGGGGAGAGGGAGAAGCAATGATTTCAGAGTGAGGTCAGGGGCAGGGGGCAGAAAACTGCTGGCCCAGGCTGGTCAGGGCCAGAGGACTGGCGTGGCAGGGGGTGGGCAGGCAGCTCTCCCAAGAGGGACTCCCTGCAGCGTCACCATCACCAAACCCCCAGGAGCTGTCCTCTGAGAAAGCTCCTATTTCTTCAAACAACTCTGTCTACTTCAGTGAGGCCCAGCCTCCCACCAGGGAAGCCTTCCGCATCCCACCAAAGCCAGTACCACCTTTCAGGACATCAGGGGGCCCTGGCAGCCTTCCTAAGTCCGAGGGACTTGGCATGGGCTCTGGAAGCAGGGCTGGGCAGGGGCCTTCCAGGCAGCTCTCTGTGATGCCTGCTGTACCTGGGGACCGCTTACAGGTAGAGCCAGGACCCAGGGGTGCAGCCAGTGTCTCTGGGCAGGGCCCACCTCTTGGTTACAGGGAAAGGCCTTGGGAGGGGAGACCAGATTTGGGGAGGGAGCCACCCAAGGGCTCAGGAGAAAACAGCTGCTGGAATCCATCTCCGGGCAGGGTGGCAGGGTGCAGGCTGGGCAGGACCTGCCTCTGTCAAAGGGAGCCTAAGTCCAAGGCGAGGAGACCACGGAAACCTGCCCCCATGCATTTCTACTTTTTTTTTTTTTCCAAGACAGAGTCTTGCTCTGTCACCCAGGCTGGAGTGCAATGGTACGATCTTAGCTCACTACAACCTCTGCCTCCCAGGTTCGAGCAATTATCTTGCCTCAGCCTCCTGAGTAGCGGGGATTACAGGCAACCGCCACTACACCTGGCTAATGTTTGTATTTTTAGTAGAGACGGGGTTTTACCACTTTGGCCAGGCTGGTCTTGAACTCCTGACCTCATGATCTGCCCACCTTGGCCTCCCAAAGTGCTGGGATTACAAGTGTGAGCCACTGAACCTGGCCTGTTTCTACATTCTTTAAAGGTTTTGTTTTGTTTTGTTTGAGACGGAGTCTCACTCTGTCACCCCAGCTAGAATGCAATGATGCGATCTCGGCTCACTGCAAGCTCCGCCTCCCAGGTTCATGCAATTTTCTTGCCTCAGCCTCCCAAGTAGCTGGCATTACAGGCACCCGCCACTGCGCCCGGCTAATTTTTGTATTTTTAGTAGACATGGGGTTGTGCCATGTTGGCCAGGCTGGTCTCAAACTCCTGACCTCAGGGAATCCTCCCATCTCGGCTTTCCAAGGTGCTGGGATTACAGGCATGAGTCCACCACACTCGGCCCGTTTTACGGTTTTTGAGTCAGGTCTGATGAATACTGGGCTGGACACAGGGAATACAGTGCTGACCAGACACCGTTGCCAATTCCCCAGAGCCTCCAGTCCTGCGGGGAGGAACTCTTAAACAGATTCTTATGACATACTGCAAGAAGCACCCATGCTA